TATCCCCTGTGTGCCTTGTCGACTCAGTTTTTAGCAAGTCCGTGCATTCTGTCAAACTTTGCAATTTTTCATGTATGATTGGCATTATCCAGTGTGCACTGTAGGTAGGTTGGCGATCGGGTTTTGCACATCGTGTATGTATGTGTGTATGTTTTACACACGCTCGCACTCACACAATGTGTAAAATCCGTTTGCCAACCTCCCTATAGTGCACATCGGATAATACCGAACATACATGAGAAAAATACAAGGGTTACTTCAAAATGCTGTAACTTTGTGAAAAAAATCGTAGCGACTTGTTTTTTTTTCAAATTAAAGAGAAAGATTCCAACTTTATGACGCTGGAAACCGCATTCCCAGGAAAAATTTTAGCAAGTCCGTGCACTCGTTTAAACTTTGCAATTTTCAGTGTGGCAAACATGCTCTCAGATTTAAGAGTTTACAGCCACACGGATGCATTAAATTTAAAATCGGCTCACAGTATTTTAAAGTAGAGATTTCAAGCTTTCATTTGAAAAAAAGTTCATCATTTTACAATGATTTTTTGCGGAGTTACTGTTAACCAAAGTTGACCAATTTTTGCTCAAAATTTTTCTATGCCATAATTTTTTTGAGCAGTGTATATGAACAGATGTAATTAGAATATTACTTACACCGTAATTAATACCATTTCAAATTAATGCGAAATATATGCGACGCAATTCAAGCGGAAGTTCGTAGAACCGCGGATGAAATACAAGTATGAAACAGCACAACACAGCGAGAAACAAAACGGGAAGGGCGCGCTGCTTGCTTTCTCGTCTCGGCTTAATTCGGGTTAACCAACAACTTCGTACATAGATTAAGCAATACATGCTAGACCAAACTTGGTCAGCGACGGTAGCACGTTGAGTAATGCAGCCTCGCTGCGTTCTGTCTCTCAGCGCGAAAAGCGGCATTATATGTAAAGTGGATTAATTAATTAGCTAGCTGTAGTGAGAAATTATTATCCGTCAGAAATTAAAATCTAATGAAAAATACGTCAGAAAAGTTTTATATTAGAGGGAATTTATATATTGCGTCGTCAAGAAAGTGCGAGGATGTGATTATGCTGAAAGCCTGCTAATATGCTTGTTTTCTGACGCAACGTAATTTACATGCAATTGGGCAATTAATCATTTTGCTTTTAGAATATAAGTAATAATATATTCGAAAAGAAAAAATAATTATTAGATTGGTCAGAAAGTATTTTTGTATTTTTGCTAACTAGAACTGACTCGAAATACGAAAAGACTTTTTGATAATTATTATAACCAAATGTATATAATGTAATGTACGTTACCGTCAAAATCCATAATTGTTAAAACCTGATTTCACTAGTTAAAACTAGTTTTAAATTTAATTGAAACAAGGTCTATAATTATGTTTCACATGGGTTTTCAATTTTTCATAGCGAGGTCCAACTCCCCCACCCCCTCTGTTTAAGGTTCCCCCTCTGGAACGAAATGAGGTCTATAATTGTACTGTCTAGTTGTAATTGTACAAGTTTTCGATTTTACGTCTAATCAACTATTTTAGTTTTAACTATTAAACGGATTATGGATTTTGACGGTAACAATAATTTTATTATATCTATTATAATTATTACATGATTAAAATCGTGTGATGATGAACTTATAGATTATATGTTTCCGTTGTAACTAATGTGCTCCCGCTGTAGATAAATATGACGTTGATAAAGCTTTTTAATCATTTCGGCATGTTAAGTATTCTTATAACAAAAGCCTTTCATCTCATCTTGCATGATTCAAATCAAGTTTTCCAGTAATACGACATGTCCTAATTAATAGGTCCATCTGAGAATTGGTGGTATCTTCAGCTTCGCAGCTTCTTGCCCTTTTTCGTAAGATGAATGAAACCAGAAGGATCCTGCACGTCGTAGTTTTTCTTATTACATTTTCCTACCCAATCCAATTAATCTTTCCGTTCTTCAGCGTTGCTCTACTCATTGTCAGTTTCACATGGATCTTTTTAGCATCTATATCAATAAACTTACACACATACGTACACACGCGCGCGCGCGCGCGCGCAAACACATATACACACACAAACATATATTTCATTTACTTTTTCTTTGTCTTCTCTTTTTTCTTTTTCTTGTCCAAATCTTTCTCAGTTCATCGAATGTCTATTTTGTCCTTTAACTTTAGCGCAGTCTTTTTATTATACCAACTAGTTTATTGCTTTTATACGTTATCTTTTCACAGTTCAACGAATATCTTCATTAACGATATTGCGCATGAATGATCCTGCAGCATGGCTCTTCTCCCTTCAGTGTTTCACAGCTCAAACTCCCTTAAGTCGAGGAAACTTTCTCGCCTAAAAGCCCCGTCTGTTATTGTTTTTCCAGGACCGCGAATTCGTGGAGATGGAGGTGCCGTACAACGGCGCCCCGAAGAGGCCGGGCTCGCCATCGCCCCTGACCTCCCCCGCGCACAGCACTGCCTCCAGGGGCGGCCTGCTGCAGTCCTGCTGCGGGCGCTGCTACCCCCAACGTTATCAGGTACGCGGTCGACGTATACTCGCTTCGATTACCTCCATAAACGAGACCGCGCCCTCGTCCTCCTCCCATTCTCACGAATCGCAACCCGGCCGGTCGCACTATCAGCCAGCCCCGGTCGACCCGACGACCGTGCCGAACGTTGTGTTCAATGTGCCGGGCGACGCCGATCGGCAGCGTCGCCAGGCCGCGAGCTCGTCCAGCCCGTACAACGAGACGAGAGTGTGAGCCGGGGTAAGGACTGTCGACGCGATCTTAAACATCCGGCGACTGAATCGATCGTTAGAATCGATTGCCGGGCACAAAACGCATCGCAGTGCGATCTGGTCGCCCTCACCGAATTCTGGACTATTGATTGGGATTCTTGTTCTTCGACGATGCTGGCTATCTCTGTCGAGTTCTCAGATGTCGATAATAATCTGGCGAATTTCTCGGTGAAAACAACAAATGATGTCGCGAGGGTATTCATGCTTACTTCAGTCTCGTTGAAATTAATCGCTTCAAGCGCGACGAAAGTATTATTCTTAAGCTCTTCGACTCGACAAGACGAATCGATCTTCTCGCGCGAGAGAGAATTAAATTGGTACGAGAACGCAACCCGCACGAGGCTATGATTGCAGTCACATTGCGAGTAAGGAATCTTAATTAAATGAACGTCTTCTCGAGAAGCGCTTAACTCGGATACGACGCTTTTAATCGTCGCTACTAATGGAAATCAGCTGTTTCCAGCTGAATGAACAGCTTAACTGGTCGCAGCCAGTCGCTTCTCCTAATTCTTGATCCCTCAGGGTCGCGCTAGTCGTTCTCAGTCAAAATTTACGATTAACCAGGGCCTCTGGCGACAAAGACTAACTGCAATGCGTATCGCGAACGGAAAACAAGACGGAGCGCTGCATATACTCTGTCTTTACTTCGCAGGGCACCGTAGCTACTCTATCTTCGTTTCTGTTGTCATTGGTACAACGTGCAGTTTCTCTTCTGGCGAGAATTTTAATTGTTCTTTCTGTAACATTTGTTCTTCAACGCGGTTAACTTTCCCGAAGATTAAATCGTAGATTACTTTTCTAATGTATATTACGATATGATAATAAATGAAATAAAGAAAGAAGAAAAAGAAATTTTTTTTCTTTCCTCTTGAAAAAAGAAAAATAGTTTAAATTCGAAGGATGTAATAATGGCATAATATAAAGGAAGTTGAAAACTAGATTGGAAATAATTGAGAAATTTAATCCACCTTATTTGCTCTTAATCTAGATCCATCACAAATTAAAGTCGAGAAAGTTAATTCTAGATAAACTTTGAGTGTCAAAGAAGATTTATCTAATAGAAGGTTCGATCTGTGTTATCTATTTCTCTTCAACACTGCCGCCGAAGGTACGAATTTTGGTACTTTTAGGAATTAGGCGATAATCTCGATTCTAAGGGCCATGAGGGCGCGACAATTAATAGGATCATCGCTTGTTTCGCTCGCTTGGTTTCCAGAGATTTATCGCTGAAAATGTCCAGACTGGCAGACCAATGACGTGTCCAACATGCGAACGTTCCGTTCCGCTACGTTACGCTATTGATTAATCTCTAGGATTGCTCAGGTACTCGTTGACCGAAGAATCTTATCGCGCACAGTAATCGTGACAAATTTAATATTTTGTCATAGGTAACTAGGCATCCCGCCAAAAATCTAAAAAGACATTTTCTCATAGTAATTACTCTCCCCAAATTCTAAATCGATATTATAGTTATAAAGATAGAGTAATGGCAAATGCACTGAACATTTTGCTCTCCTCGTGATTTTGCTATTTCTTGATATTATTTATATTAATCGAGCATTCCAAATAATATTATATGGAATGGAAAAGAGAAATAGACTAAATTGAATCACAGTAATATTATACATCGATATTTTTGTGATAATATTTTGATTTTATTATATTTTTTGTCATGATTGTTTCAATGTCTTTCTCTTTATATTCATAATTTGGGAATATAATTTGGATTTAATTTACATTATTTATATCAGAAAATATTTATTTCCCGCATAGTTCTTTTTTTATTTATCATGTCGAATGTAATTTATATTGAAATTCACCTCCAAGAAAATTACCACAATTGTATCCGTCACATTGAAAATTCAATTACTTTTTTCGCCTATGCAATACTTAATTTTCTCGGGTATATTTTTGTTTTCATTCTCGGCGAGCTCTGCGATACTTAAGGCTCGGTCGTTTCGAGTAGCTGATGAGATGAATAAAACGTTCGCGTGTCTGTTTTCCTTCGTTATATCCTCGACTTTTTCCGACATCATCTGTTTTCGTTTCATCACTCTGAGTGACAGTTACGAGTGCCGCGTAAAGAAAATGAAAATGTTTTGCTAAAACATTTTTACTTTAAACAAAAATCTCAGAGTCGCATGTGTTTCTCTGTAGTATTTTTTTCGAGAATTGCGGAAAGCTATAACATATATCTATTTTAAAGTTTCATTACATTTATTAGCTGTAGCAAAATCATATAACAATAATACATATTGATAATATTTATATTATTTATGAATGAAATATGATTAATTCTCATATTTCCAATCATATGTCATGTCATTGGTTGATATCTATATCATTTAGTCGTGGAATTATATTGAATTGTTTAGCAACAATTCAATATAATTCCTATTGAAATATCTCTTGCATGTATAAATGTTATTTTCGAAGGACATAACGAAGGATTGAACATATTTTTAAATTTCCAAGCATTTGATTGAGGAGACTTTCGCTTTTCCCGTGTCGAAGATCAAAGCCGAGACAAATTTCAAAAATGAAATCGTATTGTTCGACACATATCGGTAATGGTCGACAGTTCGACATAAATCTACGTATAATCGACCTTCACATAGCCGAGGCCGGTATTAACGAGGGAAAATGAAATGTGATGAACGGCCTGATCGACCGACAGATCGAGGACGAAACATCGTCGAAATCCCATTATCAAATGCCTCTGCTATCTTGACTTTTATTTTTCTCTACCCGATGCCGTTTTATTCTTTTCTTCCTCATCATCGGATAATCCACGCCATAATTTACGAATAGCTTTTAAATTCTCATTAAAATGTCATAAAATACTGACAGTAAATGTAAACAATTTCGACAATAGGACTAATTATAATTCTTCAATATTTGATTTCAAGGATTATTTGACCTAATTTCTATTGTAGTATCATTACTTAATTGAGATTAACTTACCTATTCAATTAAAAATTTTTTAAGATTTATTTACGTCTTTTAAAACAGATGGTTATTTTTATATTTAAAGATTTGTAATATTGCTTAAAATATGCTTATGGAAGGATATGTAAACGATTCTTTAATATTTCAACATAATATTTTATTTTTCAAATTTCCTTTGTCGTGAACTATGCAATTTCTCTTTCTTCTCTTTCCTTCCTTAAATTCTGAATTCTATTATTCTTTTCATATCAGTAGATAGGCGAAAAAGTGTTATTCTTGATCTGAAATATTGTCTTCCGTTGCAATCGTCTAAATTTCATGGAAGTTTAATGAAGCATACTTCTTTCTCTCTCACATCGTAGATCCATAAAGGATCTCGATTCATAGGATGCCTTTGCCTTCCATTGATGTAGATCTTAAGAGTAAATCGCTCTTTTTCGCTCTTGATCGTAAATCAGCGACGCGCAACCTTTTTAAAATACAAATTACTTAATATAGATAATCTAATTTCAATAAAATAGGATTCAACTTTTGCAATTACTTTTATTTTAATTAACATTTTATTAAATTTATATTTAATTACAATAATTATTATTATTTTATATTAACTTTATACTCTATTTAATCTGCGCTTTTATTAAAAATGAACTAACGTTGCAAACCTCAGATTTATTAAATTAAACTTTTATTTAAAGTCTTTTTTTAAAGCTGTGTTTAATTTTATGTTCGATTATTTTAACTAATGATTATTCATAATTATAATAAAATATGATTAATTAATAATTATTAGATATACGTAATTAAATTGCAAGCAAATTAAATGAAATGAATGAAAGAGGAGCGAGAATTACGAAGGTTGCGTGTTGTTATGCTTAGATCTATAGATCCGATAGAATCGACCCGTCTTCCAGAGAAACTGTCGACCCCCATCTCTCGCGCGGAGCGTGTCTCTCCGCAGCCCCGTGTCCTATGTCTTCCATTTTTAGATTAACTTGACATATATCGCCGCATCGAGTCCCTGCCCCGAGCTCGCGCCCGTCCCCGCTCTCGTCTGATAATCGCTCGTATTAATAACCCGTAACTCGATCTATATAATCCCCGTTCCATTAAAATTTAACCGAAACTTCGCCTAACGCGAGTACGCCGCGCCGAAGCGAAGGTTCAACCGCAAACCCGATCCGGCGCGGCGTAGCCGATTCACAAATGGGCAGCCAATCGATACGCTGAGACAAATCTAGCTCGTATTTTATTATTCATAGAAATTATAATTGCTATTTTTGCGAACACGCTGGCGTAACGTTTTTCAGCTTGATCGAAACGCGAAGCAAATCCATTCTATGCTGTAAATTGATTATATTTAATTATATTATTAATCAAAACTTAAATAGAAATATAAATAAAAACATTACTTCCTGCATAATTTATGAATTATGTGCAAAGCGATCTTAGGATCTTCAATTTTGTACTTAAATCAGAATTTACGGAAATTTCAATAACTTTCTAGAATATTTGCATACTTATTAGAATTGCATCTAAATTGATTTTAACATTAGAAATGTATTATGTATTTGTATTGAGATGAATCATATAACGATAAACTTATGATCTTTCAGGCAACAATTAATGTTAAGATTATTACATTTTAATAATTTCCTCGGTGTGGACAATTTATACTTAAATCCTAAAATAGGAACTTTATGAAGTTTCGCATTTCGATCTAGAATCTACGTGACGCTAATAATCGCTATCAGAGCTGGAAATTGCAAATTGGCGATATATTATGAGCTA